CTGGGTCTCCCAAATTCAGCTTTACTAGAGTAAGTCACACACTCAACTGGTGGCTTCTTGTGCCTTTTTTCAACAGGGTTGGAGCCCACAGGCATAGACAGGTGTGAGTGAAACCTCCAAAACCCCTAAGAGATGACTTTGCACTTCTTCCACTTATTTCAACGAATCTTGTACGAAGGGAAATGGGTTCATTTAAAGTCAAGCACAAGCAGGAAAGACATTGAGAAGTTGGCTTCTACTGGAAAGCAGAATAATCACTACACAGCTGGTTAACTATGGATAATTTTAGCCAATGTGTTGAATAATGCTGTGGTCATGAATTCCTAAGTAGGTTTTCAGTAGCACAGCATCCTTGTGGCTTTACACCAGGTCACTACAATGGCAGAAGCTTTGTGTTCACCAATAAAACGGGTAACTCAGGAGCCACGTGAATAGGAAAACCAAGTAAAGGAAAATAATCCATGACTTTGCCCTCCAACTCGATGGACTATTATTGTCTTCACAGAAGTCAGAAAATGATTTTTAAACCCAAGTAGGAGCAAAATGCTATACCTCTATTCAACAGGAATAGCTTCCTTGGTGCCAGAAGTGCTGAACTATCAAAGGGGTCGGTCATACTAGTTCCAGATTGTAAGTTGGGGATTAATTGTATGTTCTATATCTCCTTCATTTTCCTGTGCATGTGTGTGCATGTATGCCTTGTCTATAGCCAACACTCCATTAGGGTAACTTAAAATAGTTAATTTATTTACAATAGCAAAAATGTCAAAAATAACAGGAATAATATATAACAAATTCAAGAATTACTTCATGAAAAAGGCAAACAATATATACATGAAACGAAACAGAAAACAAAATCCATAGGACAAATTTTATCTAAAAAGCTGCAGAACGTAGCAATAGGAGTTTTTGGATATGAATTACCTAAGTAATGCTGGGCCAACTGAATATATATACCATATACATACACGCATGCTCGCACACTTGCACTCACACTTTTCAGCCCTATTTGCCCAATCTTCCTCTGAATTTTATTGACCTGTGAGGAATGCAACTTTGGGAGGCCACGTAAGATTTAGGAAGGATAGGCTATTTACATGTGCACTGAAGGATATGCTTAGTAACTGGAGAGCTCACTTCAAAAAGGGTAAACCAAAGGTAGAAACTCTTGAGTCCTATTCTATCCTATTTACTTCTGGTTGCTCTTTTTTTGTGATTTTCTCATACACCACACAGAGTGTTGCACCAGTAATCTTTTAAGTTTCTCAAGTGCTCTAAAATAAGTGTTTTCCAAACCTAATCATACAGCAGAATCACCTGGGGAACAGGTTAAAACACGTTGCTGGGCCCCATGCCGTTTTTCAATTCAGTGAGTACTGAGGTGAGACTGAGAATTTACATCTTCAACCAAGTCCCAGGTGATTATCATGCTGCCATACTCTTTTAAGAACCACTGCTCTGAAATAGTGCCCCCTTAAGATTTGGATCAGTCATGCCTTTCCTTACATGAATCCTAGCATTTGTGGAAAATACAGGAAATTAATACTGAGATTCCCAGAGAACAGTTATCTCACTACGATCACAGACTGACTGGCTAGACGAGATGTCAGGCATTCTATTACAGCTGAGTTTTCAGCATGTTATGGTTTGGCCAGATTTATAGCTCTACACAGTGATGTTCTGTTTTGACTATCCACTACTTCAACTATGAGGCCGACACTTGTTTCTACAGTTGAACTGTAGAATCTTACCCTTAAAATCAAAGATGGCACAAAAATCTGACTCTTGAGAACTTCTGCCCAGCTCCCAAGTTTTTACTGCAACAAAATGACCATCATCTAGTATGCAGTCTACTGTAGCCCTCCAAACTAGGCACAAAGGGCTAACTCAAGGGCAGAACTTCAGCAATGGAAGTGGTGACGTCCTCAATGATTAAGTATGTGCTATAGATTCATACTGAAATGAATTTTAAGTGCTCTCCAAACCCACTTTATGCTTGGGTAATTTATCTCAGGGGAATTGGAGATGCTAATAAAACAAATAAGTATCAAAGAAAAAATGAACTTCAAGGACATGCTCATCAAAGGACTCACCAATCACCTCTTAACTTCTCTGAAATATTACTTGCAAATTCACAGGACTGAAATATTAGCAGTATATGCATCTGAGTCACAAAATTCAAAGCAATCAAGCATTTTGCTTTTCACTGCTGCATAAAAGGAATTAAGAGATGGGGGAATGAAAATAATCCACTGCTTTTGATGTTTATTAGGTTTACAAAAACTGTACAATTTTTTTCTTAAGAAAAGCATTAACTTAGTACTGGTATCAAATAGACTAAACATCCATTAACAGGAAAATATTCTGATTTTTATTTTTGCACAATATTCTCAAGTACACAATTACAATAATGTCACACATCCCTATATGGTTTTCTTTTTATGTATTTTACTTTTTTTACAAAGTATACAGAGGGAGGGACATACAATATTTAATAGGATATTTCTACAGAACAATAACTTATATTATGTCCTTGTAAAAATCTGTACCTCTTTAAAACATTTAACTGAAACAGCCATTTTTGTTTAGCTTTGCTAATCAAAATTGTTTTAAGAATTAAAACTAGGTTGTAACTAATGTCAGTACATAACAGTGCCTACAATTTAAATTTCTTTTTATACAGACAAATACAGTTTATATTCACTTGACCAAACCCTTAAATACCTTTTAAAGGCTTCAATATTGTGCTTTAAAAAGAAAACAACTGTGTATGATTCCATGTAAAGAGAAATATAAAGTGTGTAAAGTGTTGTGTTCTTTATCTTTCAGTTTATTTAAAAAATATAAATGACCCAATTGTTTATATTTTCTGAGTTAATTTTATAGGATGCTTTCAAATTAAATTTCTATTTTAAGTGTATTGCAATATTTCCAGGGAAAATAAAAAGGGAGATTTTTAAGGTTCTCACAAAAAAACAGACAGAGCTTTCAAGACTAGCAGGGCAATGAATCATGGAATTTAAGTTACTTAAAAAAAAAAGAAAAAGAAAAAGAAAAAAAGCACATTATGGGAGCCAAAAGGACACAGGAATTCCCTATGTGACAGGCTAGGGAAACCCACGCCTTGGGTTCACTGGCATTTAGGCTGATGTCCATACCAGCCTAAAGCACTTGATTTAGAACTAGACTAAATTAATCTAGCACTTCAGAGGCTTGCCAAACACCAAATATTTCGATTTCTAACCCTAAAAATGTAATTTCTGAATACAAATATTGATGGCAAAGAGAAAGATGAACAGTAAAAACTTAATGGCACAAAGGGGATGGATGGAGCACCATAACAAGGTTGCCACCTATCAAGGTTGCAGCTATCAAGTGAGAAAAAAATTACTAAATCCCCTTGATGTGCCAGATACATGTGCCAACAGCCAATTCCAGGGAACCCAAAAACTGATTTTTGTTATTCAAGAGTCATCTTAACATAACCAAATTCTAATTAACCAAATTCACTATACAAATGTATGACTGATTCAAATCTACATGTTATTAAAAACTGCCAACTCTCAAAGAAAAACAAAATGGAAAGATTTGGCAAAGTTCCAAATAAGACCTCAGACTTTCCCTCTGCACTTGGAACACACCTTTATATCCTAATCCAAGCCAACTTGACTGTTAAGTTTCTAAAGTCTGCTAACTGTAACTGTCTAGAAAATAGAAGAGCACACTGAACTTGCCAAGTATAAGTCATAAGTAACACCAATTCTCTGGTCCATAAAGCCACCATTCGTCTCTGCCCCCCATTACTTGGTGAGACAGAGTTCTCTCTCAGCTTCTCCAAGAGAACTGAGGAGTCACAACTTGACACTCACTGGCTTTTCAGAAAAATATAAAGGCATGGAGCTGAAACTGTATGAAAACATTATATCTAAAAACGTCTTAACCTCTATTTTCTTCAATTATTTTTCAATTACCAAAGATATTTAAAAGAAAATACCTTTACTCTTTAAAAATACTAGTGTCCTTATTTTCCTTCTAATTCTTCACCTGAGTAGTCTCTCTGAAGAGCGTGACTTACAAAATGCTCTCTCATGCATCCCTGGATCTTTCATGTTACTGTAAATTTAATACTTTTCATTATAGATTTTAAACAACTACTACTTGGGGCTGTGTGTATAAATATGTAAAATAAGCAATACACACAGGTACATGTTATATATATATATGTATATATATATAATTCAGAGTACATTTACATATATAAAGTTGCAAAAGATCTTATGAGCCACGAGTCACCTCTAGGAGATTCCAAAATGCAGTCCTCAGTTAAGTTTCATTTTCAGCACACAATCAACCACTCCAGACAAAGCAGCACAGACAGAGTACTCAAAATACAACAGGATCAAGCAAAGTTTTCCAATAAGGTTTTTCTTAAGTTTGCTACGCTGACAAAAGATGTAAATAGTCCAAAAAGGCAAAAAGAAGTATATTTTCTTGCTAAACAAAACGAAAAGTAAACACAAGCCCAGCCACTGCTCTTTGCTCAGCGATGCCAGGGACACAAAGCTCAAATGGAAACTTCCCTCACTGCATGGTCTGAAAAGACTACGCAAGACAAGTAAATGACTTCCATGCTAAGATCATGAGACCTGACCATAAAATCTCCCATTCATGTAAGATATCTCTGACAATTTTATTGTGAGAAATTTATGGGGGGAAATCAATGAGTCAATACGAATACTTTCAGAGTTACCAATCTAAAGTTACCTTAAGTTAACTGGTCTTAGAAGAGTACCATCAAGGTAAGCAAGGTAAATATTTAAATAAATATAAAACTTCTAAGATAGAAAAATTCAGTATAGAATCAGGGATTACTTTATTAAAAGCAACTAGCTTGTTGCTACTTTTCCCCATTTATTAAACAAACTGGATAGAATTCAGAACACACTAGAAATAAAAAAAAAAAAAAAAAAAAAAAAAGTTAACTAGAAGCAACAATTCTATTTGTACACAGCATAAATCAATATACAGTATTGTAGGTGAACTAGACTGATTGGCTTTAAAATGAATTTCCTGCTTCAAGGCCAGTATCTCTACAATTGTCTGTAGAAGTATTGTTAGGGCAGGCCAACTTCTTTATGATGCCGCATTATGTGCTGGTTCTTTTCTGAAGGTCTTCGGAACCCTTTCTTGCAGTACTCACACCGATGAGGATAGTCTTTTGTATGAATGGAAATAACGTGTCGCTTAAAGCCTGAGGCATCTGTAGTGCTATACTCACAGTACTCACACTGATAGACTTTCCGGCCACTGTGTGTCTTCATATGCTTTTTAAGCTCATTCTGCTGCCTAAACCCCTTTCTGCATCTCTTACACCTAAATGGAAGGTCCTTTGTATGAACTGAGAGAATATGGCGACTTAGCACAAACGGATCTGCAATCTTAAAGTCACAATGTCTACACTGGTGCATTTTTTTACCCTTGTGGGCAGCCACGTGTTTCTTGAGTTCTGAAGGCCTATGAAAGCCTTTATCACACATGTCACACTTATGGGGGTAGTCCTTCGTGTGAACTGAAATTATATGACGCTTTAAATCACTTGAGTTCGAACTCTTGTGGTCACAATGCAAACACTGGTGTGTTTTGCTTTCTTGGTGGATAAGAGCATGTTGCTGCACCTCTTTGGTATCTGAGAAAGTCAGAAGACAAATGTCACACTTGAATGGCATCTCTTTACTATGCTTAGTTTTTACATGTGTTTTCAAGTTAGAAGAGTCTGCAGATCGATATTCGCAGTACTGGCATTGGTACGGCTTTTCCCCAGTATGGATTCGCATGTGCTTTTTGAGCTCTGATGGGTGGCGAAAACCTTTACCACACTCGACACAAATATGAGGAAAGTTCTTGCTGTGGACAGCCAAAAGGTGGCGATTCAATAACCCTTGCTCAGCTGTCTCATATTCACAAAACTTACACTTGTGCATTTTGTTGGCTCCTTTTTCCTTATGCACCATTTTGTGAGTAAACAAAGCCCCAGCGTGAGAGAAATGTTTCCCACACTCATCACATTCAATGGCCTTCTCTGCCTTGCTGGTGAGCTTGTGGCTCTCCAGATGATTGTGTAAACTTATCTTCTTGTTGGTAGTGTAGTCACAGTCAGTACAGCGGTATTTCTTCTTGGCAAGGTGTTCAGGATGGTTTTTCATGTGCCTTTTCAAGAAACCTCTTGACTTAAACTTCTTCCCACAGATCATACAAGGGTAGACAGTCAAAGGATGTCCATCAGGGCCAATAATTATGGCTAAGAAAGGACAAGAAAAGAGAGAATAAGGGATTAAACTGAGTTCCCTTTCAGCTACTTCAAATATTTACTGAATGCTCTCAACACCACTGGTCAAGGACTCATAAGTGAGGCTATTTGCTATTTAACATTCCTTTTATCATTTTTCAACATAAGAGATACAGCAACATAGTTGTATCAGGACATCTTAGTCTGGAAACTTCATTCAGTAGGACTGTATCAACCTCACTCCCTCCGGTTTAAACAAAATAGTGAATAAACATATAACATCTATTAACTAGTGATTAAAACCATATCAATTTAGAAATTTGTGGGAAATTGTTCATAAAAGTAAAGCTTTGTAATCAAAATTCTTGCTTTGGTTATTAAAAAACATTTTTATGTTAAATATATCCATAAAAAATTTAATATGCAAATCAGTATGCAAGAATAGACAGAAGTATGTCAGATGTGAAGTACTTATCCTGCTGCTCTATAAATTATGTCTGCTTCATACTAACATAATTATAGATTCTTTAAAAATACTTATTTAAAGTTAATGCCTGTAACATATGAGGAATTCCTTTTCATTCCCACATAAAAATCATCTAAATTTTGAATTTTTTCATCCGTTTGATCTATTTCCTGTTTTTTTTCATCCAAGGAAATCATTCATGAATATCACTGAATTCTGAAAATTGTATTTCCAAATTCAATATACAAAAGCTACATGAGGTCTAGCAGCTAAAATGCCATTGTGACACCCCTGTGGATACACACTAGAGTTTCTCTGAGAGCTCGCAAAGCATGCGGCACTATGGAACTTGTGCACCCTCACCTGTTTGGTACTGCCTCGAATCAGGTCTTCTCCTTTTCTTTGGTTTTTGTTTAGCCAGTCTGCCAAGGCCAGCAGACTCATCTATGTGCAAGAGGGCACTTGCAGTGCCATTCCGATTTTCAATTCCATCAGAATTATTACCTAACAATACGCATTAAAAAACAAAATTATACAGTCTTATAAATGATAGTTAAGAATTCTTTTATTAACTATGACAATGAAAAAAGTAAGCCATGATACTCATGAATGACAGAAATTTCCCATTCTACATAATGGGCTTTATGAGCACATTTATTATGGTGGGACAGCAGGAAATGCTAGTTTCCAAAGCTAAAAACACATGGGCTCCCTTGTCTCCCAAAACTGCAAAGTCATGGGTCAGATATAATCAAGATTAAAAGTTTCAGCTTGAAAGCCTGTATACGTAATATATACATGTAAAAAATTCCTGCTACAAATAAAGACAAAAGGTAGACTTTATAATCTTCCTCTACTCTTGTTTAAATCAAATAATCCATATAGGGTGCTCATATTTCAGACTTCTGAAACCTAAGACCACAGACACTGTTTTTAAATTATGATCTCATGTCCAAAAGCCAATTCAACCAATCCTAAAACCTGCTCTGGGACTTACCATAAGCTGCTGCCCAAGCGATCGGCATGAAGGTTTTGATTTCACTGTCATCCATCTGCTGTTCATGCGCAGCTGCCGCTGCCGCTGCCGCTGCAGCATCCTCCTCTCCTACAATTACTTCCATGTAGACTTCATCGGCGATTTCAGCAACATCTAAGTAGAAAATTATAAAAATGTTTCTCATCAGGTTTATAGCAATTAAAGGAAACATTTTATTTGAATTCAGTTAATAAAATGAAAGTCCAAATATTATAATCCTAGAACATAGCTTTCACATGGTAAGCACTCAATTCTTGGCTCTCGCCAATGTGGTTTTAAAGCAACATTTGGGGCCAGGAATTTAGCTCAATGGTGCCGCTCGCTGCCTGCCTCACAAGTGCAAGTACCAGAGTTCAATCCCCAGTACCAAAAAAAAAAAAGAGCCACTAAATATGGCAGTGCAATAATCTCTAAATAATGATTTTTTTTTTTTTTCAAATACTGGCCATTTAAAAAAAGAGAAAGCTATGGACACATATAATTTTCACCCAAAGGCCACCTACTTACTTAAATCTTCATCTTCTTGCTGTGAGTCATTGACGGTCATATAAACCATCTTTTCTCTAGGAACACGAATACTGTTGTTCTGATCAAGTAGCTCAACTGCATGATCATTCTCAGGTTCACTCTCCACAATGTCTACAGTTCCACCTATAAGGGGAAAAGGCAGGTCTAAATGTTTGTTTGAAAACTTCATTTCCACCTCTCTTTATGTACTTTTTAAAAATTACTTTTTTGTAGTTTTCAGTTACATTAGAATTCTTGTTTAAAATTTACCTTCAGAAAATATTTCAAATGTTGTCAATCTACACAACACAGAAGCAACCACACTGAAGCATTTGATCAAGATATACAAGTGTGCTAAGGCTTTTGCTTACCTAAGTCATCCTCTCCGGGGTCAGCTTTAAAAATGTACACCTTGATGACTTCAGGACAACTGCCATCCACTTTACAAGAATTGATTTCCGACTCTGCATCCATGGTTATTCCAGATGAACCATCATGTTCTATTTTGCCAGCATCATCCACTAAACAGGGAGGAAATACATTAAAAATAATAGAAGATACTTAAATAAAATGTTACTGTTTTCTGAAATCTTTTTATAACATAATCTCTAATTTGGTACACAAAAAATTGGATAATTTTACCTACACAAGTAGAAGATTCAATAAAGACAATTCTAAAGACATCTGAAAATGGCAATCAGGTATTAAAGCAAAAAAATATAACACAGAGAAACTCCTGGTAACCTAGAAAACTGTTACATTTTGCTTTTGCAAAGTCATAGGTAAAAACATTTCTACATTAAAGATAAAAATTTTTTTAAATGGTTGGTGAGGCTGTGAGAAAAAAAGAACCCTTCTAAAATCGTTGGTGAGAATGTGAACTAGTACAACCACTATGGAGATCAGTATGAAGAGTCCAAATAAATAGATAGATAGATAGATAGATAGATAGATAGATAGACAGACAGACAGACAGATAAGATAGAGATTCCATTCAATCCAGCTATTCTGCTTCTACGTTATCTTTCCCAAAGAGTTAAAAAGACATTATATTATGGTAATTACATGCATACCCATGTTTATAGCAGCACAACTCATAATAGCTAAATCTTGGAAGCAACCTGTATGTCCATCAACAGATGAATGGATGAAGAAAATATGGTATTTATAAAATCGAATACTACTCTACGATAAAGGAGGATACATTTGAGTCATCTGTAGGAAAATGGAGATACCTTGACACAACAATGCTAAGTGATATAAACATGAGTTTAAATACTGAATTGTTTCTCTTACATGAAAAACCTAAAGTTTAAGTAATTTAAAGAGCAAAATAAGATAATAAGAAATAGGGAGATAGATCTTTTGCAAATGGGAAAAGAACCAAGAGATGGAAGGTGGGATTAAAATATGTCACAGCCAAGTGAGGTGGCATACAACTGTAATCCCAGCACTTGGGAGGCTGAGGCAGGAGGATCACCAAGAGTTTGAGGCCAGCTTGGGCTACATAATAAGTTCAAAGCCAGACTGAACTATGGAGTGTGAACCTGTCTCAAAAAACAAAAAACAAACAAACAAAAAATGTGTTATATACATGTACTAATTCCCCACAACAAATGTAATTATAATGTATTGCAAACATACACTAATAAAAAATAAACTTCAAGGGTCAGGGATTTAGCTCAGTGGTGCCACCGCCTGCTTTGCAAATGCAAGGTCCAGAGTCAATCCCTGGTACAATCAATCAATCAATCAATCAATCAATAAATAAATAAATAAAGTAAAATAGAAATAAACTTTAAAAAATATTTATATGTACTACTTCACAGTTACTATTCTTGAATATCATCTGTTCTAATCTATTCCTACCAAAATTATATACTTCAAAATAATCAAAACATGATTGCCAGAGGGGTGTACTGGAAGGAGATGACCAATAGAAATTCTAACTCAATATGCTTCAACTTAAAACTGTAAAACACACAATTTTATATACATCTACACACACAACTTTAGTTTATGACAGTAATTAGTCTAGGTCCTTGATGAGAAAAGGCAGCAATGTGAGAATTCAAACATATTCACATACCCATTGTCCTCCTTAATGGCTTTGTTTAAAAAGAGAAAAACAGGTACATATGATTTCCAGTAGCAGAAACAGTATATTTTCTAAAACTTTATAGAAGTAGCTAAGAAAATAAGTATGCTATTATGTATAAGACCTGGAAAATAAAAACACTGGAAAAATGATGTCTTAAAAAAACAAATTCCAGGGCCAGGGATTTAGCTCAGTGCTGCTGCCGCCTGACTCATAAGTGCAAGGTCCCGAGTTCGATCCCCAGTACCAAAAAACAAAAAACTCTGGAGTTGAGTAAAGACCAAAAATACAATCCTCATCATTTATGAGCATCTCTAGCACAACAGAAAGTATGGCTAAGGTTAGTGAAAACTTAGCACTGAGGACAATTTATCACAAAAGTTAGACTCGTGAACACTGAGTCTATTAAAAAAAAAAACAAAAACAATGAAGCAATGTTCTCTCTAGTCTAGGCCCTACTGGCCTACTTGGCACAACTGAGACCAAGCAGAGGGGAAGAGGGCTAAGGCCCAGAAAGAAAAGCTCCTTTAGCCTATCTTCAGTACCTGCAACAAGCCTTTGCATTTTGCCTTTTCCCTTTTAGTTCCCTTTCTGATGTCCTTCTGCTGGGTATATTTGTTTTCCTTTTGGCTGGATGTTTATGTTTTATTTAATTCACAAACACTGAATCACAACTATATAATAGACTTTATGCTAGATATTGGAGACAAAAAAATAATAAAAATTTATTCCAGAAGCTTGCTATCTCGTGGGAAGGCATGAGTAGACAAATATTCTTAAATGTAGTAAGAACACAGCTACCATTTACTAAAGTAACCAAAGTAATATTTAATACAACCCTATGAAGAAGGTGATATTGTGTTATCAACATTTTACAATACAGCAAAGATTAGAAAAGTTGAATAACTTATTTTGAGTCACAGAATTCAAATCTCAAGCCACATTAATCCTAGTTTGTCAACTTCTGGAGTTTGGAAAATAAAACAAAAAAACTGGCAGAGGTAAACATGATTTTTGAAAAATCAATAAATAGTTCAACTATCTAAAGATGCTTTCTTTTAGTGAAAATCAGATGAATGTGCTCATGACTCAGGCAGGCTGAGTCAGTCTTGCAATTAAGGCTGGGGGGGGTGGTTTTGACCACTATAACATCTTAATTTCATAGTCGCCTGTTGTGCGATTTACACTCATTAAGCCAAGACAGAACTGAGATTTCAACATCTTTGAAATGATACTTCTGCAAAGTCCTGTCGTGCTCTCAATCAGAACCAAAAACTGCACTTATCTAATCAAAATTTTTACATAGGAGATCAAGATGATGAATCCAGTATCTTAAAAGCCAGCATCAAAAAGCAAAAATATAATAATAATTTATCAACCTGGCTTCTGAGAATTAAGACCATCACATAACAAATAAATTACAAAGAATCACTAGCAAACAGCATCCCCAGGCCTTTCTGTTTCATTTACAAACATAAAATAAATTGTAAAATTTAATCAGCTGGCTTCAAGTGCAAAGAGCCAGGAATCCAAAGCCCTAGGCCACTGAAAAGTAGTAATTTTAGTCTATTTCTGACACCATAACATCATTAAATAGAAAGCTATATTTTAATACACATTTGGTTTCAAAAAACCAAACATGTCAGTTAAAAATGCACCTTTTGATAAATCATACTTTTCCTTACATAATTCAAAGTTAAAATGAAGGTTGCTTATAAAGAAAAAGAAAAAGCTTGTTTACACACAAGATGATATTAAAGCTGAACTCTCTAATGCAATATTTAATAATAAATTGATACAGAACATAGAGAAGGATTAGAGCTAGAAATGACTGGCCAGTGTCACACTGTGCACTGATAGCTGCCACAGAAACAAGGAAAGGACATCTCATTTAGGCTGAGAAAAGAGGCACTGATTTTAGTACAGAATAAAGTGGGGACAAACGTAGAGACAAGAAATGGTATGATGCTGCTGGGCGTGATGGCACACACCTATAATTCCAGCACTTGGGAAGCTGAGGCAGGAGGCTCACTGTGAGTTCAAGGCCAGCCTGAAATATATAGTGAGAGTCTGTCTTAAAAAAAAAAGAAAAATAAATAAAAAGAATGGCATGATGCTAAGGGAACACACCCTTCAATACTAATGGGGCTGAAGATAAAACACGCCACAGGTCATGGTGAGAAACACAACAAGCTGCTAAAGCAAAGCTAGGTCACAGAGGGACTGGTGTACCTGGCAAAAGAGCATAAGACTTAATCCTAGAGGCTAGAAACCTCTCAATCTGGTCAGGCATCAAAATCCCTTGGGGGTACTCTAAAAAAAGCAGTTTTACAGAATCAGAATGTGTGGGGGTGGAGCCTGATGTATACAGGTGGATTTAAAGGCACTCTGTCCCTAGGATTTTGATCAGAAAGGCTTGAATCTGCTATAGGTGATGGGCAACAAGATTCGATGCCCATTTTTCCTATACCACTCCACTGGCCTCGGAAAGAGATACAAAGCGATTAAAGACATGAAGCAGGGAGACCACTTATGTGTCTGCTGCAGTAACGTAAGTGGTAGTGACAGATGACAAGTCCTTGAATCAGAACAGAGTAACAGTATGAATGGGCAAGAGGGTTGGTCTTGAGGCCTATCTTGGGACTAAAATAAACAGGGTCTGGTGCCCATCTGAAAACGATGTGACAAAGGAGCCAACAATAAGAGCGGGTTTTGATCTAGGAAGCTGAGTGACTGGGGTAAGAAATGTAAGAGAGATGAGGAAAAGGACCTCTTCTCCCTGAATGTTTAACTATTTTAAGATCCCAAGGATATCACCCCAAAAGCTCTCAGATCCAGTGCCCACTCCTATCACTCTGTGCTCTCTCAGTACCCACTGCTTGCTTCTCTCAAGTACCTGACTCACCGTGCTATGTGTTTTTCCCTCCATCTTTACCAACTGATACAACAGAATCTGTATTTTCATTACCTGGTCTTCTAAGACAGAGTATGGCAACAGCAGGTGCTCAGAATATTAATGGTTCCATAAAACAAATGAGATGTGAATATCTGAGTCTGAAAACTAAAGGATGACACACAGATTTGGGAGCCATCAGTTCTGTGTTAACTAAGCCTTGATCACTTACACACAATCTGCAGTATGAAGAAAGAGGGGCTGAGGATAAAGTCCTGGGGAAGGCCATAGTTTAGAGGAAGGGACTTTCTTTCACAAAGGAAGCTGAGAAGGAAAAGCTGGAGAGATTGGTAGAAGGGCATGAAGGAAGGCAGAGAGTTAAAAGGTGCAGACATCCTAGCAAAAACCCATGGTGGTAACGCTACAAGCACACAAGTCAAGGAATGTCTGCAATGACTGGCAACCTGAGGTCACCAACATTCTTGGTGAATAGTAGTATAGGGAAAGCTGTATGGGGTCAGACTGGAATT